GACTCACAGCTCAGCCTCTCCCACAAATACACCAAGGATTACATCTACAAACCCACTGAATCGCACAGAACACCTGCTGAACTCTGGCAGACTGTCTCTCACTTTCAAATATAGGAGGATTCTCACAAAATCTGATAAACAACAAGTCCATACTGTATAGCACAGGGACTCTATTCAACATCTTGTGGTAACTTATGGTGAAAAAGAATATGGAAATGAGTATATGCATGTTCATGTGTGACTAAAACATTATGCTGTACACCAGAAACTGACACAACATTGTAAACTGACTATACTTCAATAAAACAATATGCAAAAAATATATATATAAAAAGGAGAGACCACAAATATATCAACCATTTCGATTAAGACAGTGACCAAAATTGAGTTTAAATCTGGGTCCTGAGAGTCACAGTGGTTCTCAGAACTCTAAAATAAAAGAAAGCATACAACTATTTACACAAAATGTAAGTAATTTGCAAAATGTACAAGTACTTTGCAGTGATTTTAAAACACATTTTGAAAGAGGATTATAAATCTTGATATGAGAACATTCTGGTTGCTAAGAATAAGACACAACTCTTTACTTAGCCAGAAGGAAGTTTGTTATAAGTTAAAGGAATGTCCCACAGTAAATGATGTTGATCCTCAAAAATTGAAACTGGGAACTCTATCACAGGCAGAATCCAATGTTTCTCATTTCTAGGTTCTAAACAGTAGGTTGTCACAGACACTTAGTCATTACAAATGAGCATATCCTTAAACTGCAATTTTACGAAAGATTTCTCTTAATCATCTGCTGCAAGGCTTGGATCACATCCTTGTTCCTCATACTGTAGATCAATGGGTTCAGTATTGGGCTCAAAAAACTATAGAAGATTGCAATTATTTTGGACTGCTCTACAGACTTCTCAGATGGGGGCCTTAAGTACATGCAAAAGAGGGTTCCATAAAATATAGTGACTATTGTCAGGTGGGAACCACAAGTAGAAAAGGCTTTGCACCTGCCTTCTGCAGAGCGGATCCTCAAGATGCTGGCAATGATGAAGAGGTAGGACAGGAGAATGATGAGGAGAGAGCTGGAGAGGGTAAAACCAGCAACTGCAAACATTGCCGTCTTCTTGACTCGGGTGTCAGAGCAGGCCAGCATCATGAGAGGAGGGTCAGCACAGTAGAAATGATTGATTTCACGGGAGCCACAGAAGGACAAGTGGAAAGTCAGCAGTGCCTGAGAGAGCCCATTAAGGAAGCCACAAGAGTAAGGGACTGTGACTAGAGAGAGGCAGATGCTCTTGGACATCCTGATGCTGTAATGTAAAGGGCTGCAAATGGCCACATAGCGATCCAACGCCATTGAAGCAAGGATATAAAACTCAGTGATCACCAGGGCAATGAAGAGCAGACACTGTGTGAAGCATGCAGCATAAGAGATGGTCTTCTGGTCTGAGAGGAAATTGAACAGCATATTTGGAGTGATGTTGGAGGAATAGCAAATGTCTACAAAGGACAGGTGGCTGAGGAAGAAGTACATGGGGGTTTGGAGGTGGGCATTGGTCCTGATCAGCACGATCATGCCCAGGTTCCCTGCCAGCGTGATTAGGTAGATCACCAGAAACACCCCAAACAGGGTCTTCTCTAACACTGGGTTGTCTGTGAGTCCCAGGAGAATGAATTCTGTCACCAGAGTGTGGTTTGGGGAAGACATTTTCTTGTCCCTTGAAAAAAACTGAAATTGACAAAAAGATGAAGAATTCTGTCTAACCCAGACTCTGCATTTATTCCATTCTTGTATCATTTACTTTTGATCTATTTATCTCTCGGGAAATTACTCTTCTCAACAAATGCATCAGAAGGTTTCGATAATTATTTTCACTTTATGTCTCTGTGTTAACTCTCTACACACACACTTCCAAACTCTTTCTGTCCTACTTGTGTGTGTGTGTGTGTGTGTGCGTGTGCGTGTGTGCGTGTGTGTGTGTGTGTGTGTGTGTACAATTTATACCTGTCTTCTTGGAGAGCTTCATATTTGTTTCTTTTTCAAATTTTGTGAAAAAGAAAGCCAAAGCAATAAAAACGAAGTATGAAAAGCAGCAGGTCATTTGTATCATTCAAGTGGACAAATGAAGGGAGCTGAATTTCTAGGTTCCCTCCAGCTTTGATAGACTATTGTTTCAGATACAAAATAGAAGACACATTCAGGACAGCATTTTCACTTGGAACTCATATTTGTCTGGCTTCATTGCATTCAGAAGATGTTGAATTAGTAAATTTACCTTTTGCTATATGGCTAAGAAGGTACAGAATGAAAAATTGTTCTCTCTGCTTGGTAAATTCACCCACTCATTATTTATGTACACTGCAAATATTATTTTTTCTGTTCTAAGTTCACAGGTTACAGCAGTGAAGAAATTCCCCAACCTTATAAGCATATATTGTAGGGGAAGGAATAGATACTAAACACACAGCCAAGGATTCACAACAGAATTTCAGTTAGAAGAAAATATTATGAAGAAAAATAAAGGTGGGGTCTTTCAGATGGCCATTCAGAAAAGGTCTCTCTGAGAAGGCAGAAATGGAACAGTAAATAAAGAATTCAAGTATCTGGAGAAAAGTGTGGAAGTTTTCTTTGTCCTCATTTTTTTTTGCAACTAACATATAAAAGAAATTTGTTTAGGGATGCACATTAGGATAATGTTTAAACGTGGACTTAGTTCCCAGCTGGATCCACTGTCTCTGGTTTGTTGGGTATTTTTCTTTTTTTTGAAGAAAATAAGATATCTCTGGAAAAATGTGCATTAATAATTGCACCCTAAGGCTAATTTATTTAGTTTTCACATATACATCAAAAAAGCCTGCATATAATAATTTATTTTTAGAGAAGCCATTAAATATTAACATATGAATAGAAAAATGAAGTACAATAAAAAAAAGATTTTTTTTCCTCCATTGGTGGGATATTAACCTCTACACAAAAGAACAAACTTATTTTTAGTGAACCAATGTAGAAAAATGGCCTACCTGTCAAAGCTGACTTACCGTATTTTCTAAAAACAAGGTGGGAAGATTTATAATATATTTCTTAGGAACATTCCCTAGAGTATTTTTTAAATAAATTTAAAAAGCCAATTAAAGTAGTTTTTATTTCTCAGGAGTATAACCTTAATTTGATGCTTTGAGGCCTCAGATTCTTCTTTGAAGCCAAAATCTCTACCTAACATCTGTGTATTCTGTTTGGTACTTAGTGCCTGAGATCTTTAACACAGATAGAGAAATCAGCCATCACTTTTATGGAATATGGAAGGAGGAGAATGTGGAAAGATAAGTTTTGTACTTTAAGTATATAAACATGAGAGTATTCTCATCCGAAGGCTTCAGTATTTCTCCATAAACACTGAGGTAAAGTCATCTAATGAGAGTGAAAAGTAAGAACATAAAAGAGATGCAAGGGTGTGTTCTAGCTTCATTGTTTTA